AACGATGCGACTCACGTTGTGTATGTTCGCCATGCACTCTGAACTTGAAATTAATGCGAGTTTTCTCATAAAACGAAAAGCATGAACCAAACTTACATGCCAATCACGATTATTATGAAATGAAACACACCTTTTACACGCATATTTTAAAGAATATCGTCGACGCCCAGTAAAAACACTCTGGGCTTATAATCGTGAATGCCCTCAACTCGATAAATACCAAGTAAAAACATAGGGATGGGCTTCATACTCGGGAGGGGCTTACGATCGGGGAAGTACGGTACTTTAACGCAATTGGGCTTTCACTCTCAGAATACTGTGGTTCAAACGCATAAGGCTCTAACCCAAGTTTTAAAAAGCACATTGTACATATAAAAGTTGAGTTTATACTAATAGTACACAATGCTTGGCAGCGTAAACGGCTATGTACAATGGCGTATACGAATGCGATCAGATACTAAAACGTCATAGCTTTGAAAAGTACCCGGATGTTAAATATGTTCGTTCGTTAATTATTCCCCTCCATGAATGGCTCATGGCAAGCACTTCAAATGCTTATCAAGCTACAGTTATAATTAAAACAAAATTAAACCACTGCAATATTATTTCGAATACAGTTTAGAATATACACAACTATAAATTAAGGCCGCATTTAGGTTCGCTTTAATGTATGTTGACCACCTGGAAACTGAGTTTTATAAATCTTGAAGGCCTCTCGGAAGATCCACCCGCAGCCTGGACCCGCAGTAAAATCAGCGATTACTATGAAGCCGCAACCATCAACATCGAGATACCAGGAGGTTTCTGCTGGCGACGTTGCGGCGTTACTCAGTTCCAAATAAAGATTACCTACGCCAAATGAGCAACATTTAACCGGTAACCAAGACTCAGTCTATCCACGACCAGCAAGCAACATCACAAACGAAGTTGTAGTGGGCAGCTCACGAGTCAGCGACGACCGATGTCAACGAAAGTCATTCCGTCAGTGGAGTACCGCACTTGCACGGCATGTTTGCCAATGCACAGATCTGTGGAGGAACTTTTAACTTCAACATAAACCGTGTATCGTAGTCGCCCAGTTTAAGTTCTGGTTCTGTCGTGGTCCCAACTAAAGGGCGACAGTCGTCGTGCCGCGTCCTGTTCGATATGGGACTCGATATAGCGACGTACATGAAGCTCAAACACCCAAGAGTTATTTGATTGGACGACTCAAATTAGACGTCTGATTATATTATTTTCATATTTTTATTTTCACTGACACGCGTTCTACACTGACACGCGTCGCTAGGTCGCAGGACTGTCTTGGAGCATATTAATGAGCAATTGGGTTCCCCGCCCTAAATTGTTATCCCGGTTTGTTGCACGTTCTTTCTTTAATATGAAATAATCAAACATGGGACATATGTAATAATAACAGAACTCCACACCCTCCCCGTGGCTTCGCTCGTGAAAGTACAGCAGCAGGATACACCGCATCACTCGTGAAAATAACTTCCATACGCAATGAAAGCCACGGGGAGGGTAAGGGGTTCTGTCATAATACTTCATTATCACTGAAAACATTTTTTTCCCTGAAATAAATTCCAGTGAAAATGCCATTTCCTCATACTCTATTGAGACACAGCACAATGAAATTGGATTCACATGTAATGCTTGAAAACATGTCAGCAAAAATAAATTAAGTGACATTCTATGTGACTTCATAAGAGTTGGAAATGAACAAATTACACCCGACCCTACCACTTCATACACAATGTAAACTACACCCCAAAACATCCTTTCACCCACCGTAGTTACTGCCGTGTTTCACCAGTGTATTCTATTTGCTTCAGGAGAAATTGAAATAAACAAATTAATTATAATTTCAGCCTCTAGTTGAGCACTGATTAAATAAACTACCTCGTCTTTATGTCAACTTGGAGTTATTCATTGCCTACATCAGTGACTTCAAAATATATGTTTCAATCCCAGGAATTTCACTCGCTGTTAATTGCATGGCGTGCCAGTCTTTCATGAATTTCTATTGTCATGTCAATTTCTTGCGATTACTCGGAACATGAAGCTGTAACCACATACCGCCTAGGTGCTGTAACCAAATCCTGGTATAAGCACCGGTTAGGCAGTCTTGAACTATGCATGTGAAGCCAGCTGAGAGGTATATCCAATCCTATCGATCTTTCATTGTTTGGTAACTATTTGCTGCAAATGCAACAAAAATCAATATAAAAATATTACCCACACAGCATTCTACAGGTTACTTGTTCTTTCAGGGTTCTTTCGCCAGTGTTGACAATACCGGAGTTTGTCGCTTGTATAAACCCCGGTATAAACCCAACCTGACACGACTATAACCCTAATGCAAAGAAACTTTCATGTACATCTCGGGGCAGCCATCACTGCAAATTTGGTGTTAGTTATATGGGTAAATCCTACCTAACTCAACCCTAACCCTAATGCATAATTCAGGATTTCAGTATTCTTTATAAAGAAGAAAGTTTATTCCACTCTATCGTAAGCGGGCGCATGCGGTGGAAGTCACTATACGTCCGGCTGCTGGTCTGAAATCAGGTTCCCCGCAAACTAAAGCTGATATAATACTAGTAGTTACAAATTCGGTAGTATATATGATACCTGATCGTCAATTGGATAACGGAATTTCCACATGCAAATATAATAAATGCACACCATCCAATCATACAATGAACATTGTCACATAATTTTGACGGACTTATATCATCCCACACTAAATCATACCTAAATATTTCGTAGAGTAGTAATTTCTAATATGTTATATTTTTATTTTCAATTTTTTTTATGTTATATTCACCTGTCAAATCAGTAAAATCCTTGTTCTCTAAAAATAGACATTAGTGTTTTTTATAGTAACACAACTATTTACTCGTCTTTACATGGCAAACGAATATCAATTTTCTGAATTTTCGTAGGGCGTAGATTTCGTAGATTAGCATAAAGTTGCCATCTATTCTTTTATGCATATGCATTCACGGGTGGATATTTCACCCATGCTTGTGATTGGTCAATTGTAGCATTCACTAGGTGGCGTGATGTGTATGCAATTGCGTGAAGTCCTATTGTCTTCAGTCTCGATTGTTTACATACACGGTGTCTACAACATCAAATTTTATTTTATATATACTTTGTATTACTTGTATTTTTCATCAACAATGGTCATTGTGAGGAGGGGAATTTGGTTAATAAACACGGTAGGTTTGTGTACCGAAGCTACCAAAATACCAACCACCGCATTATATGTGTATGTAAGTTGAGAACTAGATTATCTGTTTTGATGTTTACCTGATTATAATATACATATTACATTTTAAAACTGTTTATAATATATTAATATCTTTGACTCGTGGTTTATAAATAGACATAGGTGCAATCTATTTATAGCGTCGTGGGAGTATTAAACAGCGCCACCACCGATAGAATCTATCCTCGTTCTGATTATTCACGTTTTGATTGAGATCACCATGACAAAGAATAACATTCGGAAAGTTATTTTGATAAATTAAAGGACACATTATTTATTTATATGTTTATTTACTCTAATACGCCACTTCTCCCTGAATACAGTGAATGAGCTTAGATATGTTACTAGTATATTAACTATTCCCAGGCTTGAAGTAATACTTTTCTATTGCCAGATAATCTTAAAATCTTTATTTACGAAACAGAACACTAAATCACATGTTACATTAGATAAAGGTGACCCAAGAAAATATGTTTGTTGGTATGTCAATTCAATGAGTTTTTATGCTTAAAATGTATATCTAATGTACACTATGCGTACCTCAGATTGTGTGTTGACTGCTTGAAGTGAAATCATGACGCAAAGTATCTGGGCGAGGGAACTTATTACATGCATCCGTTGACGACTAAGATTATTGTACATTAGGCCCAGCGCGCGACTATCGTTTTCCTTGGAATTGTGCACCTGCATATTTTTTGGCCAGTGATTCGTGCTCGCTTTGTGGTGACTTGTACATTACATGGTATATAGTTCTGTTCACCTTGTTTAGTTCTATCCCGGAATGCAGTGTCGGCTAGATTTTTTTTTTTGAGCTAGTGATTATTTGAAAGTCTTTTATTACACAAAACTGCATAATTTAACTCTTATTCTTTCAGTGTATTTATTTATCACTTAGATACTTGTTATGTAGTTGTATATAATCATGCATATCTCTCCATCGGCAATATATTTAACGACACGGTTTTCAGTAAAAAAATTTTACATGACGTAATCAATATGAACATTTCTTAGTCATAAACATTGGCACACCGTACAAACCAGCTGTACAATCAGGTCGTAGCCTATCGGATCGATCAGAATAATTAAAAGTGCAATGTTCTTCTCTTCAGTTCTCCCCATAGCAGTTCTCTTTCTCGTTTAGCGCCAGCCAAGACAGATCGATTTTCTAACGCCCTTCTAGCAAGGTATGGCATCACGTCATCTAATGTGCCCACTGGCAGTGACTTGTACGCTAAATACCCTTTCTGACCTGCAGTTAACACACAATTGTTTGATAAATTTAAATTAGCTTTCAAGATCTGAATATAACCGAAATAATAGGACTGCTTCAACAATAATAGTTACATGCAAATTAAAGATGATTCTATGCTGCCGGAGACAAGAATTAATATAATGACATTTTGCACTGTGGGATAATCACTGATATGATGGATTGGTAAGATATAAATTATAAACATATTATGAACATATAAACATTCCACATTGACCACGGTGTAGCGCTTCATCGCTGTAAAGAGACGCACCTATATGTCACATTAGGCAACCCAGCGACGGCGTCAAATCGCATGTAATGAACGAGGATTTACAGTGACTAAATAGACGTGCGCAGTCGAATTATTAACTTCACATGCCGCCACTTAAATATTAAATCGAGCTTTCATGGTCAGTACGACCCGTACAATTACGCTTTCCCTCGTGGCTAATGCTATTATTTATTTTGGTTTGCAACTTGTATTTGTATATCGCTCTTTGCTGGGCAACAGACATACTTGTTGACAAATGCCCACAAAAATGTGTTATTTTACCTAAAGCATAGGATACTTGATCACACATTCCTAACAACTGACCAAAACAAACTGTGCCATCCGTCTTATCAATACCAAGTTCATTTATCCTGTAATATGAAAACAAATATAGTGAATCGTCAATGTATGAAATTGTGCAAAATTATACAAAATGGATTTAAAAAATGATAATCAAATACTAAAGATGAAAACAATGAAACGGGTGTAATATTTTCAGCAAAGTCCCAATTATGAAAAAGAAAGTTGGTGGGTTCTTACTTGTTTACAGCTAGATTTATACTTTCTTCATTGTGGGATGCTATAATCATATTGTATCGTTTTCCGTGTTTTTTGATTAATTTTAATAACATAACTAAATTCTGATTATACATTTTATTTGTAGCTTCATAATCCGGGCTGATGGGATCTGTTGAGTATCAAGAAAATTACAATGCATTGTTGAATGTGTATATAGACAAGCTCATGCAAGACTGACATGTGATGCACATACCTAGAAAAATCATGTGATGCAAACTATAATATAATGCGATCGTGTTCACAGGAGTTGCGAGCATGACTTGCATCACAGTAAATCCAGTTATGCACTGCTTCGACTTTGACATACACATATCGTTCAATTTGTGTTAGAACAGTACCTTAGTACATGATTGACACGACATAAATGTATACAAAGCGTTTTATGTGCCATGATTTAAAAACAACTATAGTGGAAATTGTAGATCATAGATATATAATCGTTATTGCATGCAGTGAAAAGGTTTACAGAGCCAGGCATTATATACCTGGTATAACGTACCCGTGATATTAGGTTTTATCACATCTCGCTGCTGTTACGCTTGCTGTGATTGGTTGAGACTCAGTCACATGACATTGAATAACACTGGATATTAGATGGCATATTACATGGGTAACGATCTAAAGCTGTGTGACTTGTGAATAGAAGGTGTACTTTAGTGAGAAAGGAATTTCAGTCACTTCCACGGCACTCTAGCATTTTTATCTTGAGATTCATCAAATAACTTGAGTTTGAGAATTTCTCAATTCATTTCAAAAATGTTATTCCCGATAAATTGAGTAATTCACACTGCTGAAGCACGGTTACTAAAAAGAGTATCTGTGGCTGGAGATAACATTTACTGAGTGTATTTAACAGGGTTTTTTTCAGCAAACAATGTATGTATGTATGTATGTGTGAGTGATGTAAGGTAGATGTGATTGTGCATGGTTGATGTCTGTTCTATGTGATAAAATAAATAACACATGGTTATTCGGGCAATATCACGATTTGTTGTCTGCCTTCGGGCTGTTGGTCATCATGACCACCATCCCTTGGGCAGGCAACAAATCGTGATATTACCCTCACAAGCATGTGTTATTATTTAAATATTATGACTCTTCTTGACGCAATGATATATATTCATATGAGTGGTGACTTTTTATGTAGGATGAAGTGTTTACCTTCATATCCCATTTGTTTGGATCTTTCTCTTTCCCTATCAATGTATGCTCCTCTAACCAGTTTCACACCAAACGTGAAACCCAACTTTTCAGCCATCCCAATATCTCTGTTGATGTTCGTACGTGCTGCCTGTTGAATCAAATCAGTAAGTGTAACATTATTCCGTGGTTTGTGTAATTGAAAGAAAAATAAGTTGACATATGATGTGTCGTAATGAGAGTGTATGCATCTTTAAGTTTTGCATTTGTTTGAAAAAAGTGCCTATTACAGTTAAAAATAACATAAATGGAAGCAAATCGATAAGTTCCCCGATTGGCTAGAAAGACAGGTATTCACAAGTCGAATATATGATAAAACTACCTCGATTCAAAATAGAAGCTACGATGTGAATCATTACCAAAACCTAAAAAAAGCCCACATTTGACCGTGAATGCCATATAACTTTCCAATACCTTGAGATAATTTTGATATGTGTTCCATATGAATGGTTCAGTCTTGTTGTATTTGTACATCAAAGCTAAAGTTATCAGTGTCATTGCTGGATTGAGATATGTATATTCCGCATCTACTAGAATCTTTGTATTGTTAGATACAGCATTCTGTAAACAAATAATAATAATCGAAGGGTTATGATAAAGTTCATTGAATTTTCACTATTTTTTTAATGTACATCAACCTTAATAGTGCAGACATTTCTAAAACCAAATCATGTAGGTTATTCAAATTTAACATTTTATTTCTAGCAACATATTACAGTGTAGCCCACTACTTCATATGAATAATGGGCGAGTTAGCGGTGTGATACAATGTGCATTTTGTGCACGAGACCGCAGTACATACGTTATAATCTCATTGAAATGCTAACTAAATAGAAAGATTGGTTCTTGAGATATCACACCTACAAATATATAAATATTATGCATCCATCACAGCTCTAAATTATGACTTTAACACAATCTATGACTTTAACGCAACGCCCACCATTCATCCGCAATGTATTTTAGTAATGTGCATATGTTAATAAAAGTACCCTATTTATCCATATCCAAATATACACTTGCAAGGTTTACTAAATTAAGACTGCAATTAGCTTAACCAAACTGAAAGACAAATACACTTGTCATTGCTACACGAAAGAAGTAGTTGACGATGGCAAAATACATTTTATTCACAGCTTGTATGTCATAAAAAGTATTGTAATAAAATAACACAGAAATAACATAAGTAAGCATAACATATTTTTAGATATTTTGCCTGACAAATATAAAATAAAAATCAACTCACTTGTGCCAGTCTGTCCAAACGATGCAAGGTATTATTAACATGTTCAAATTCAGAATCGGTCAGTCCAGGAACTCTCTCTATCTGTAAATGGATGAAAGCACATGGTAATTACGATCGTTCAAATTGATTAACTTTATATGATAAACCGTTTAACATTGATTTAGAAGATGTGTCAAACAAATATTCTACAAACTGAGTATGAAATGTATCGGTACCTTGTCGTTGACTTGATTTAGTCCCTTTGCGAAATTCTGAATACTCAATGGTCCGCCGTCACCATATGCATATCCACTTTTCACAATTGGCTCACCAATTTTGACCTGTGAATAAATTATAAATATTATAAATATAAGTGATGATATATCATATAGCGGCATTACAGTGCAACCACATGGCGGTTATCATGATATAAATAAAGTTTATTGAAGAGTATTGTGAGCATGGACGTCCACAATTTTATTATATTTCGCGTGAATTCTTCGAACACACTTTGGGCAGACAGATACATGTACAGGCAAGCAGGGTAAATTCAAATATTCCGTTTTTGTGCACCATTGACAGTAGTAAATAAAACAGTATATTAATCACTGTTTTGAATAAAAGCAACTCCTTAATTGTAGCTTACCAACACTTCGGGCTGTACCAATGCACTGAATCGCACTTGCATGATAAGTGGTTTAGTTTTATCACATACATGTAGTGTCTGGTCCACACATTGTTCCATTGCATTAATATTCTCAGCACATCGTTTGTCCCGGTATTCATCACTGGTAATAGAAATACGTACTTAGCAGATACACAATGATGTAATCAGTAAATTCAACCAATAACCAATTGTATTTTCAGATCCCAAGAAATGAACATTTTAAGAAAATTGTAAATATTTGAATTTGAATTTCTCACGCATATTTAAAATTTTTAATGATTCTTCTTAAACCAATTTATTCCACATATAAGAAGCCTGCAATTCCATGCCAATGATAATCTTATAAATCATGGGCTACACTCGACTATTTGCAATCGTCTAACTAATATGCATTTTCTCTTGATTTCACGTTGTAAGTATCATAAAATTACTAATAAATCAATAAATGATTGAACTGGTAAGGATAATAAAGTGCATTGTTTTCTGCTTTGTATCAACACTTTTTGCGACTGTGCCTATCACACCAGATTTGTAATACACCTAAACACATTCGACTTGTACGGTGTATTTAAATTGCGTGTAATGTTGCACTGGACTCACATCTAAACGATTTTTTTACATTTCTGATATAAGGCCCCATATTGTACTTATTTCATTCAACTGATGTACCTATTTAATAGCTTTTGAAAGTGCCAAAATTAGGGTGGGTTATATTGTTCTGAGTATATTGATGGTTTTTTTTGCGTGTTCTACTTCACATGCATACACGATTAGCGTCCCACGAATACAAAAACCTACCTATTTAGATTACATTTAAATATTCTAAAAAAATACAATTTGTCACAAGATGACGTACGTTTTGTAATAACACCATATAATATTAGAGATCACAATATGGTTTATAAGTAGAAAATATAGATTAGCCCGCAATACATATGTTATAATCTCATTGAAATCCTAACTAAGTAGATAGATTGGTTCTTGAGATATCAGTTGAACATCTACAAATATATAAATATTATGCATCCATTACAACTCTAAATTAATAGGTCTGCGGGTTCATTGAAATCTGTAAAATGGTTCTTGGGATATTAGAAATGTATAAGAAACACATATTTCAAGTAAAGAATTGCATAATTTCCAATACTATTAATGCGATATCAGCGGAAACACATAAATAGTGCGCGCACATGACAACACGATGGCAGTCCCAACTCACCAGAGCCTATTGCTTCCTTGTTAAATGGAACAACGATTAAAAAAATATATTCCTTGCTTAAGGAAACTATTTAAAAGAGGGCGCTCTTTACTGCCGAGGAACAATTTGACTTGTTTCCCCGTAGTGTCATGCAAACCACGCCACACGACGCAGCAACTAATAATGTCATCAGCTACCTTATTTTTATCTTTTTAAAACTTTTAAGTTTTTTTTCTAGTTTTTTGGGGGTGGCCTAAGTCTTAAATACGTCCAATGACAGAAATTTGTCGTGCTATATATAGATCACAGAGATCCCCCTTTACTCTCAGAGGGTGTGGTGAATGTGAAACTCTTATGTTTGCTAGACCGACGTTGAATGGAAATTTTAATGTTTTCAAATTATTCAAAGGGTTGAATTCCAGTACACTGAAACAATATGACGATTACAAGTTACTTGCGTTCTACTAGCAGTTTTATTTATCTGAAAGAACAACCACCAAAGGGCACTGTTCATTTATTAAGAAAGAGGGCGGTGTTTCCTCCCTTGGCTGACGTGTCTTACCTGGTGCTGGGTCCACCTAAATCTTTCTCCAGTGGTATAGCTAATTTCGACGCAATGCCGGCAAGCTCGAGTCTCTTCACACACTTCACAATAGTTGGGATGTCATGTCCCGCTACAAACTGTCCGTAGAAAGTAGATTTCAATAAACGTGAGGTTATGTATTCACCAAGAATGTTCTGCGATGTTGCCATCAACTGAAATTGAAATAAATATTTATACAAATTAAATATGAAGTAAAATTAGAACTGAAATATCACTAACACTAAATATAGAGATCATTAATGCTGAAGGGGAGTGTTTTATGAATAGAGACTTTACTGATCCTACGTTGAGTCAACAGGGTAAGAAGACAGGGCTATAAAAAAAATCAATTTGGTTGAGATTTCACACTCAATGTAGTGTATTCAAATTTACTGTCACCTATTACCCCTTATCGAATATATTTGTCGTGCTTACATTGGACAGCGTCAAAGACATAAGAACACAACGTAGTCCCTGTCTTGTATACAGAGTTGGTGTGGGTATTTTCCATTTGCCGCCCAGCCACCACTTATATACTAAAACATAGTCCATCCGTTGAGGAATTGTGACTAAAACAACCAAACTCTAATCATGTCAGGAGAGAATACAATCTGTGATTACGTCATCTCAACTTGTTAATGTTGCAGCCGTGCTGTCATTGGAACTAATCGATTATCGCTAGTGTGTTCTCTGGTATCGGTCTACCTACATCGCGTGCACTGCAGGCTATTCAGACAAATTTCTGAGAGTCAGTATACTATCAGAGTATTAAACTCTGAGCAAAATACGACTAAGCATTATACAATATTTTGACACTTATTTGAATATTACTACCCTGCCTGGCACCCAACAGTTGGCTTCTGTCGATTTGTAATCATTCGGTTTTTTGTCAGCCTAACAATACGCATGCGCAGTTATGACGAAAGTGAGGTTTTAACGTATAAAAGTTGCTGGGAATGAACCCATGTCTGTAGTGTTAAAACAGTCCCATTCAAATACGATCGAGACGACTAGATCGGCATATCACAGCTATTATATCATCTCCGCCCAATTACCGTAATGGTGGTATAAAAGCAATGCATTTGACGTATCAATGTGACAGTACCATATTTACACATCTCCAATAAAAGAGCATAACAACAACAAATTGCATTTATTGTATAAGATACCAAAATGTGAAATATATTGGCCATAAATACAAACTGACATTTACGCACGCGCTATCATTAGATCAAATACGGCCACTAATATCAGGGGTAGTCTTCTATAGAATATACTGTAATCGCTTTATTAGTAGAGCTTTTACTTACACACGAAAACTGTTGTCTATAGTAAAACGAAAGCACATTTAATGATTTCGAATACAATAAATTCTATAATGGTTTGTGTGAGCTTCTTTAGAGGCGCGCTTGTAATAAAATAAATACGGTACATTATTTTGCAACATAACAAACGGAACATCAGAAATATATGAACAACCGCTCTGTGGCTCACATTGTTGCGCCAACATTACATTAAAACAGTATCTTAATTTGTTTATTTTGATATTTCTTTCCCGAATTTTATAGTCGTTATTTTTAGCTAGCCTCCGACAAGAAGTAATGATCCTATACCTCAAATGTCTTGTAGCAAAATAAGATTTACGTGAAACACTTGTGTGAGGGCGCACTTCAATTACGTCAGTTGTTCAGCTCGCATACACTTTTGAACGGACTATTATGTTATTATATTATGAAAATATGTTCATTTTGTCGGAGTTTAAACTGGATAACCGGGAATGGGCGTGTTGTGCAAACCAGTCATTTATCAGATAAGCCTGTCAAACGATACGCAACAATAAATTCAGTGCCTGTCAATCACTTTGCAAACACAGTTGAAGGTCATACACCCGGTCACTGGAATTACCGCTGCCTACCGTTATTTTGTCGTCACATTTATTTCGCTACAGACAGAACTCACCTTGAAACTGTTGTCGACAAAGTACGAGTAAGAGCACATTTTCAACACCGCCAACGCTCGACATATTTCCAAGGTCGTCTTGGTTTTAAATGAATTCTCAGTATCGCTAAAGTTCAGCTCGGGTGCAGCACTGACATTTTCATTCGCAGCATGTTTAATGATGGAGTCTGAATTCTGGATGTTGGGGTGAATTCCGACAGTGGCTGATGTATGCAGCGGTTTGGAATCTTGATGGATATTTCGGCGTTGTTGACAATCAGTATGACGACGGCAACTTTGCGTTAGCCATCCGCCCCGTGTCTGAATGGGACCTTGCCACAGCCTAATGAGGAATGGAACAACACATCGACCTTGCGAGTACTCCATCTAAGCCGGGTACATCAAATCTGTTCTGTTGATCGATTTGACGTTTTGCGACGTACTCCTTCACACTATACTAGATTAGATAAGATAAGATTGTTTATATTATTGAAGTAAACATTAACAAAACAGTACCTTTTATTTTGGGAGGAAAATGAAATAAAATTATTTTTCATTAATGATTATTCATCCAAAATTGCAGATCCGGTCGTGTCCAATGATGAAACTTGGGGTCTTTGGTAGCAGTATCGACAAGCAAGTATTAGAACAATCGGGATGAGGCGAAGTATGGTACGAAATATTCAGCCGCAAATGGCATTAGCGAATTGGTGCTATGTGCATACATTTCCTAGTTTCAGTTCACAATATTATAAAAAATACAACGGCTAAATTGAAATACCTGTCCACCAAGGGTAGTATATAATATTTCCCTCCGCTTGGAGGAGTATTCATCATGTCCAAAAAGACTTCTACGTGGTTTCGGGGATTTATAGATTGACTAAAATTGTCGACATACAATATTGCCTGTTTACTGCAAACACAGCTTCCTGAGATGAGGATAGCCCTCAACGTCGACTGACTATTTCTGCTCCAATTACCTGTTATAGACTTCATAGAATATGTCGTTGACCAGTATGAACATGCTATGACGATCAGCATTGCTGGTCAGTGTTGATACACGCTAAATTCACACGTTCTGTTGTTACATAAACTTTAAAGCGGGAGGGTCGTCACCTGCGCACACACGGGAATTGAGTCCCAAGCGATGATGATAACACACCCTAAAAACGCAAAGGCTCAATTGTAAACAATGACACGCTATGGCCATCTGACGCATGCGCAGATGACGACACCTGCTTTAACTATCAACAATATTTAGAACCACTGTAATTTATGAAAGATAGTGCAGTTCCATGCATGCTGAAAAGAACACAGATAATTCTCAACATTAGATTAAATGGAGCCGCATCAACAAAGCCGTGAATACCTGTAGCCATGTTATTCGAACGTAAAAGAGTAATTAGATATAGTTCATTGTTATTGAACCTTCACAGACCAGGTGTTGTTTTTATTCAAAAATAATATTTTAATTTTACTCGTTACTTAAGTTTCAATAAATGATTCAAAAGATAAATATAATTAACTCCGAGACGTCTACATTTTTGCAAAAATAATATTGTCTTCACATCCATATATTATTTTTCAATACCAATAAATATTTTTTTTTCACAACTTGTACAACCCCCGAAATACAATGTGCTGAAGAGGTAACTTGTTTATAAAATGATTATTGAACATAATTTTTTTTATTTTTATTTTCATTTGATTTTGTTCAAGGGGCACCTTCCAGTTAAGCCAAATCTCACAACAAACTTACTTTCTGGATTAAAATAACAATGGGTAACAAAAGATAGATTAACATTGTAAACAACATAAACAATAGTGTCCCATGATTCCTTGGTGCAATCCCTGGGATTAAGCGGTTCCCCTTTAAGAGGTTGTTGAGTATACATTGAATTCTAATTAGGTTTCTGTAAAGCGGGAGGGTCGTTACCTGCGCACAAACCACTTTTGCCCAAAAAAAGCATGTTTTTGACCCATTCTGGATATTTTAAATAAAGACAAGTTTCACAAAGTTTGTATAATAAGCTTTCAGAAAATATATAACATGTTGGATATATAATACCATCTTCGTTGTCTAATTACTCAATTAAAAAGCAAGCCAAATAAA